CCGGGAAACAGTCAGTGAGAGGACTACACGCAATCCGATCTCAGCCTGGTCCGAACTCAGGCAAAGCTCAAGTGACGAAACAGGCCACTGACCAAAGTGACAAAACAGGCCACTTGGTCTTTGGTCCAACAAACAAACCCTAGGACGAAACAGGCTACTTGTGCGAGTCTGGAAGATAAATCAACAACCACATCCGATCATGCGAACCAAGACTTTACCATCCTAACATCTCTTGTTTTTCGAAGTCAACAAACACGACCTATAATAGAATTCTGTTTCACCTCCTAATTTAGCCAACGCGCACACACATGTCACTAAGTCTTGTTCATGACGTGTAACACCACTAAGTCATGAACTACTAATGGTTCTCAAACACAATAAGAATTACTAAATGCAGCTAATTCTATACAAATAAAACATGGTATATCACATAATTAAAATAAGAATCATGGAATCAGTGGATGTATTGCACATAAAATGTCGCGGTCAACAACCATCCATAACACGTTCATAAACTGAATTAATTCAAAATAAATAATTCTTTTGCAAAATAAATTCCTTTCAAATTGTCTCTCACCATAATTATTCTAAAAATAATCTTTTAATATAATAAATTCATAAATCAAAAATAATATTTTTTACAAGATAAATTCTCATTAATTTAAAATAGTCTATTTTCCCAAATAATTTTTTTAAAAAATATTTATCATTCTAAAATGATCTCTTCCACAAAATAAATTCTAAGAAATATTATAATTATTCTAAAATAGTGCCGTTGTCAAAATAAATTCTTTAATCTATTATAATTATTCAAAAAATACTATTTATTATATAATTAGAATTTATTTAATATTATTCATCAAATTCACACAAATAATTATATCACAAATTAACATAAGCAGATAATTCATAATTTCATCAATAAGCCCATGCAGATAATTATTAACTGATCTAAAATTATAGATAATTTGTAATAAATACAAAAATTTAGATCTGATCAAGTGTGATCTTGCCTACGACGAGTTACTGTGGGTGTGGCTAGCGGCGTCGCGGGACGGAGCGCGATATCTGACGGTTGGGGTTGCAAATGTCGAAGGAGAACTGTTGAGCCGAGCCGACGGCATGACGAGGGTGAAGGGCACCGATGTAGCAGGACTGAGCGGTGATTGTGGGGCTCTAGTCGGGTATTTACCGATAGGTCTAGAGGGACGGCCGATGCTACGATCTAAGGCAGCGAGGAGAGGAGGACCGTCAGACGGCGCTGCCATGAGCGGCGCTAGTAGAGGAGGCTGCTACAGTGAGGGGAGGAGGCTTGGGTGTCGAGGAGGAAAGAGGAGGTGGCGGCTAGGCGAGCGAGAGAGAGAGCGGATGTGGGCGTTCTTTTTTTTTTCTTTTTTTTTTTTTTTTTTTTTTTTCCGTGAGCGGATCTAAGACATGGATCCGACGGCCACGAGGCAGCGTGGCTGCTGATGGTGGAGGCACGGCTGTAGGCGTGGCTGTCGATGGTGGCGAGTGAAAGAGGGGCTGACCGGTGGTGTCAGAGGAGGGCGAGTGCGGTGGCGGTGCCAGAGGCGGCGGTAGGGCGCCTAAGGCGTGGGAGATGGGGCTGGTTCGGTTTGGGGTAGGGGTGCTAGCGGATGTAGACGAGAGAGAGAAGTAGAGAGAGAGAAGGAGGGTGCAGCTGGGTTCACGTGAAAGGAAGAAGCAAAAAAAAATGTATATATAGGGTTAGGGTTAGGGTTAGGGTTAGGGTTAGGGTATTTAACAAAAATATTAAATATTATTAATAATTGATTACATATTAAGTTAAATAATTATGGAAGTTTTATTTACAAATTAAAGCGTACTAGTTACATTAACACAACAGATTACACAAAATAATACGTAATAGTATCGATAACATAATGGATTAATTCAAAAGTTTTTATTGCACTAAGTTAATTTATAAATATCAAAATTATTTAAATAAATATAAAATTTGGACTTTTAAATCATAGAAAATTCTAGAAAATCGAGAAAATATAAATACTCTTTCAAAAATAATAATTGAATATTTTAAAATACCAGAAAATTATTTTAACTAGTATTAAAAATTCATGATTATTACATTATACCCTCCTTAAAACAAATTTTGTCCTTAGAATTAAAACAAGGACAAAATATAAAATAAGAGACTCAATTCAACTCATATAAGGAAAATTCAAAATATACTGCATATCCATAAATAAGGGAAAGTCATACAAGAACGATACAAAATAAGATATAAGACATGATAGCTATGATTCAGGAAATAGCTGAGGGTATCGCTGTCGCATCTCAAACTCAGTTTCCCAAGTCGACTCTCCAGGAGAATCTGGGTGCCACATCACACGAATAAGCGGAACGGTCTTGTTTCGCAGGGTTTTCTTCCTTCGGTCCAAAATCGCCACAGGCTGCTTCTCGTTTGTAAAATCAGGTCGCACCTCAATCTTCGAGAAATCTACGACATGACTCGAATTTTTGACGTATTTTCACAACTAAGAAACATGGAATACGTTATGCACTCTAGCCAAGGTGGGTGAAAATGCAAGTTGGTACGCTACTTCTCCAACTCTTTCTAATACATCGAAAGGTCCCACATATCATGGACTCAACTTCACACGCCTTCCAAAGCGAATGGTGCCCCTGTTAGGGGAAATCTTAAGGAACACATGATCTCCTGACTGAAACTCCAAGTGCCGGTGTTTCATATCCGTTCAATGTTTGAATCTGTCCTGCGCTATGCGAAGTCACTCCCAAATGATCCTGACAGCATCAACTGACTTTTTAATCCCTTCAGCCCAAAAATCTCTCGCTCACCAACATCGTCCCAACTCAAAGGAGAGCGGCACTTCCTCCTATATAATACCATGAAAGTGGCCATTCCAATGCTAGCCTAAAAGCTATTGTTGTATGCAAACTCCACCAAATGCAAGTGATCTTCCCACGACCCGTGAAAGTCAAGCATACAAGCTCTAAGCATATCCTCCAAAATCTGAATGGTCCTCTCTGACTGCCCATCGGTCTGGGGATGATAAGCTGTGCTGAAGATGAGACTGGTCCCAAGACGCGCGTGCAAACTCTTCCAGAACTCTGAAGTAAATCAAGTATCATGATCCGAGACGATGGACACTGGAACTCCGTGCAATTGTACGATCTCCTTTAGTACTAGAGATTTACTAACACTCTTGGAAAAAGAACTCATTGAAATATATAGAGATAAATATTTTACCTCTATGTATCTTTGAGCAAGATGCTCCGTCGGCTATACCCCTCGAAAAGGAATGAAGTGAACCGATTTGGTTAATCGATCTACGATCACCCAAACAACATCATTCTGTCTAGTGCTCTGAGGTAAGACAATAACAAAGTCCATGGTGACATGTTTCCACTTCCATTTCGGAATAGGCAACGACTGCAAAAGACCTGCGATGCGCTGATGCTCTGCCTTCACTTGCTGACATACAAGGCACTTCTCTACACTATGAGCCATATCTCTCTTCATACCATACCACCAAAAGTTTAACTTCAGATCCTTGTACATCTTCGTGCCTCCAGGGTGAATAGAGTACAGTGAGCTGTGAGCTTCCCGTAATATCTCCTCTCGAACATCTCCTTCTGGTATGCAGATACGACTCACAAATCATAAGGATCCGTCCTCATGAACAACAAATTCCGACTGAAGACTAACCACAGATAAATCTCTGCACTTCTAAAGAAATGAGTCACCTGATTGTGCAGCCTTGATTCGCTCGACTAATGTCGATTGAATCTGAATATTCATCAAAGAAGCGGTGATCCTA